AATTATAATCCATTGGTAACCGTTCTATTAACTTGTTAAAGTCTTTTTTAGAAATGTATGAACGAAATGCATCTTGATAATTTCTAAAACACTGGCAAATTACCCCAGACATTAAGGGACCTAGCTTGTCTAAAAACGGAATGTTTTATTATTAAGTTTAAATGAAATCGAATAAATATAAGAACTATTTTTTCATACTTTGTAGAGGATCATTCGACCAATTACCGAGGATTATTTGTTTTTGTTCATGACAAATATTTTCAAGCTTGTTTGTATCATGCAGAAAACGTTCAAATCTTATTAAGTAAGATGAAGAACTTGGAGACAGTAGTGGATGACCTAAATTTGTCATATATCAGCAAAAGTACAAAAATGAAAGTTAGAGAACAAACAAATAAAAAAATACAATACCAGCTTTACATAAGGGATTCAAACTGGTTGGCATATTGAATATGATAGAATCACATTCTACAAACTCCAAGTAGCCATTAGGCTTCAAAACTCGAAACAACTCGTATACGACTTTAGATTCCCAGTCATCTTGAGTAAAAAACATGGCCAAAGCACGAATGTGAACATAATCGAAAAAATTGTCATCAAATGGCAATCCATCGAGAATATTTGCAGTATGGAATTGCACGTTACGTGGTTTTTGAGTAGGAAATGCAGATTGGATATCGACACCATAACAAGATGCTTGATAATCAGCAGCCAATTCACATACCCAAGATCCAGTGCCGCATCTTAAAAAATATATATAGAATTTATATCGACATTAGTATTCATATAATATTTGTACGTAGCATATATATAATATTTGTATAGTAAGTATATATATATAATTCTTTAAATAAATTTTAATAAGAATTTACTAACCCGACATCAAGTACTTTAAAGTCTTTTTTTTTTTAGTTCACAATGAATTGGAGCAATGAAGTTTTGGCCCCATAATTCACGGCAAATATCATGACAAACTTGGATCGAATCGATATGTGATTCACTATCTGGAGGTAAAAATTGATTTCGAGAAATTAAAGATTTTGAAATGATTTTACCCATTTTAAAAGATCATTTAATTGTTATTAAGCAGAAATTTGATCTCTCTATTTATAAAAAAAAAAATAAAAAAATAAAAAAATAAAATAAAATAAAATAAAATTATCAAACTTTAAATTAATTGAATATATAATTTTTTTTTGATATAAAATTTTTAGGAATCCAAATATTTGGTACGTACGCTCGTACGTACATCGTACATAAGTATGTACAACCATGTTACTCGGTGTGGTAAACAAAGAATAAATTAAATTGTTCAGAAAACAAACCTGAACTAATTATAACAGGGTTACATTTTAGGATTTAATTTCAATAAAATGGATAATAATAATTTGTATGAGTTCCTTAACATTTTGAAGTTATTATATGTATGTACAACTGAACTGGTTTTTCCGTTATCTCTTAATGTTCAACTATGTTACATACATCTACTAATCAATTTATTCAACGTTTAAGTGATTACCAAACTTCGAATAATATCTTTTAACCTCCATTAATACCAATAAATTTTTACAGCTTTATTGACTTCGGCATCTTTAATGATTATATTTTTTTTATTTGTACACAGTTGAATGGATCATATTTTGATAAAAAATTATGTAATAGAATTATTATTCGTTGTTAATTACGGTAGTTTAAATTGGTATTATTTATTAAATAGATAATATGAATTAATGAATTTTAATGTTTTAATATTCATTGTTGAAAATCAAATTGGACGTTTGGATTTTCTGTCACTCGGACACGCGCGAACAACGTGGAAATCGTGGAATTGACTGAATATTAGTCAAACAATTTGATAAAACTATTTAATAAACTTGATAAAAAATTTTTTAGCCAATTAAATCAATTATGAATTATCATGTGATCATGCAATCAACCAATCGAAGTAATTGAGACATGTGACAACTAGGTCGGTTCTTAAGAAAACTGACTTCAATAGTATAGTAGTCTTGATATAGCGAACACACATGTATAACAAAGTTCATCTTTAGCTTTTATATTTGTTGTAAGTGGAAACGGAATTTAAGTGGATTCGGAATTTATTATAAAACCCCGTTTATATGTACACCCTAACCCTAATTTAACTAGGAAATTCCAAATCCTTAAATTCTATTCCCACTTATAACATGTTCAAATTAGCCTCGATATAGTATGACAAAACTATTGGTAAATTTAAATATAACGAAAATTTCTGAAAAATTTGGTTCAATTTTAAATGATTCATAAGAGAAAATCATATATTTCTCTTTCTCTCTATACACTACCGCGCGTAATAAGAAAGACCTTTAGTTTGTGTTTGTGTAATTACCTCATAAATAATCATGATCTTCAGTCACTTGATTTTACTGACCCAATTGTTTAATTTTAAATTCACAGTTTATTATATTTAAAAAACAAAAATATGTAAAAGAAATACTGTATATAAAAATTGGGTTATTATAATTATAGTATGTAAAGTAATCTATACTATATATATTGTGATACGTATTAAAATTTTAATTTGTCCGTCCGTTTTTTGTAATCTGATTGGTCAATTTAAAGTATTATGATCGGGATTATCCGTTGATCTATGCTACGCGCTTCCTATACAATAGAAAATTCCTTTTTAATAATGCATGAATGTTAGGATATGCCCAGACACTACAAAATCCAAATGCAGTACAATAACACAGCTTAATATTTACGGTATATATAATTAATAAATTCAAATATAGTGATTTAACACGGGTCATCCGACGGGTGGACTACGGGTTATCCGGTTGATCGACGGATACAAAGATTACCCGTTAAACTCGGCCAGAATTTTTAACCGTCGCGTTGCTCCCAGATAAACCGATGGCGTTTTATAAGGCTGGAGTATAGATGCTGGTGAAACTGGTGAAACTCTTGGTGAATGATGTGAAATTTAATATAACAGCCAATCAGATTTTAGATAGTTACCAGTTTCACCAACGTTATTTAGTTTCACCAGCATCTATAGGCTGGAGCCTTATGTATTAGTTTATTCAGCATCGGCTTATGACCTGTAATTGATCTCTTTGCTAATTATAGGTTATGACCTTAGACCTATTATGACTTATAACATTCACTATTACATTATGACCTTCTTGGCATATTAAGTTGGATATGACCTAAAATGGCCAACACTGAGTTTATTAGTTCTAGTAACTTGCCGTAATTATTGCCGTAACTTGTCGTAACATAATTAACATAATAAAGTTACGGCCAAAATGCTGTACTCACTATAGTTATTACATATTACAGAGATAATTACGACAAGTTACAGCGATAGTTACGGCAAGTTACGGAAGTTTCATCTGCACCTCTAATTAGTTCTAAACTATAAGAAAATGGTAGAGTTAGTAAGTAGCATACAGGCTATCATTAAAATAAGTTGTAACAAGAAATTAACCATTAATATGCGAATAACGATAAATGAAATGCGTTAATTTTAAATAGCATATTTTTATAAGTTTATATTAATACGCGCGAACATACAGAAGTAGTAATCTTCGATAAAGCTGAGATATTATATTACTAATCTTTGTTGTAAGCGTGCACTTGTTACGTGGCTTTACAATTAAATTTATGCCTAAACACCTAAGATACATCTATGTCGAAATTTGATCATTTTCATCGTTACTTTTTATTAACATTAAAAATATACAGTATAAGTTAATTATTCTTGAATATTATAGGTTGGTCAGCACTATAAGTTATGAATTGGCAGTTCTTGAATATTATCTCAATATTATCTTTGGTTACCGTATTATAAGTTTCAAGTATTCGACCAAAGTCCTTCAGAAAATCATTACAAAAAAAAATTCATAACATCAATGAGTTTTAAGATCTTTGTGTTTTTTCCTTTTAATCTTTTTTTTTTCAAGAAAATGATAATTTAAAATATTGACCTATCTTCTTAAAATTTACATATATACTATAAAAAAATAATCCTCTAAAAAATTTATTGATGTACAAAATTACTGATTCATTTTTTTGAAAACTGCATCTTCCATATTTATATCCAGGGCTCATGACATATAATCAAGGTAAAATTTAATTATGACTAAGTAAAATGAAATTCAACTTTTGTTCCTTATTTATTTTATTTTTTTTTGTAAGTATAATAGAAAATACAAATGAAAAAAATACAAAATAAAAAAGGGAAACTGCTATTTCCACACCCTTGTAGATCACTCATTTTTAAAACTTTGATCGGCAACCATCTGATAAAATTCGATGAACTTTTTTAATTTGAATTCTATGGATTCATAGAATTCAGTTCGTCGAATTTCATTAGGTGTTTGTCGAGATACCTTCGATCAAAGTCATACACAAATTTACATTTTGACGGATGTTTAAAATTTTTCTAAAACTTTCATCGAAGATATCTCGACAACTAACCAATGAAATTTGATAATTTTTTTTGTTTGAATTC